TGGCCGCCCCCCTGCCTGCGTGTTCCGTCGCTTTGCTCTGCTTTGCTCCCCGCCCTCCTGGTCTGCAGACCAGAAGGACGGGGAGCAAAGCGGCGGAACACGCGGGCAGCGGACAGCCCAGACGCTTCTGGGCTGTCCGCTGCCCGCGTGCTCCGCCGCTTTGCTTCCTCTCCCTGGTCTGCTGGAGACCAGGGAGACGGGCCCCGTTCGTAACTGCGGATCCGACATAAGTCGGATCCGCATAACTTGGGGACTGCCTGTATAAGCCTCAGAGCAGGGATGTGAATGTGTACTCGTGTACATGGTTACAAGCACATTCAAAACACACATACATACACCCTGGCCTGCAGCCTCTGTATCAGAGGCAGCAGCGGGGGTGGGGCAGGTAGGAGCCGGTGCTAAGGGGAACTGGCTTAAAAGCTGGCTCCCGCAGATCCACCTCCCCCCCCCTCCCCCATGCTGCTGCCTCTGATACAGAGGCAGTAACGGAGGGCGGCAGGGGGCAGGCAGGAGCCGGTGCTTGCGGAGAGCCAGCTTTTAGCCAGCTCCTGCCTCTACCTCCACATGAGAATGTGTATCCGCTGATATTTTCAGCGGTTACATGTTTACAAAAACAACACTTTTTGATCCCTATTTCAGAGGGATAGCCCTTTTAGTCTGAATCTGTAAAAACTAAGGTGCCACAGGATGACTCCATAAAGACTAACAAGATTTATTTGGGCATAAACTTTCATGGGTCAAAAACACTTTGTCAGATACTTATGCCCAAATAATCTGTTAATCTTTATGGTGCCACAGAACTTCTCGTTTTTAAATATGATAAAAAATGTACTTTATGTATTTCCCTTTAAGTGAAAAAACAGCTCTCCTCCACAGTAACTTCACCCGTCCCCAGAGGTTATCCCTCCAAAACAAGGCTGAGCTATTTTGACAGAGCACTGTGTCCAATGAGGCTTATGCAGCATCTTTCACCACTCCTAAATTCATTTTGAACTCAAACTAATACATTAGAGAAACTAAGTTTATAGCAAGCCACTGGGAAATAACTCCAAATCTTTTTGCACCTTCTCTATCAGCTTAATGTAGAATGGACACTTCAACTGACTATTTCTTTTCCCCTTTTTTCCTTCTTTGCCTTCCCCCTCCCCATCCCTGATTTATTTATTAGAAACTGGACCTTTAATAACTCCATTCATTTGAAGAAGTGGGTTGTGCCCATGAAAGCTCACGATACCATCTACACGTTTTATTAATTTTTAAGGTGCTGAAAAACTCTTTTTTAAGTTTTTGAAAATCTTTTGACAAGTTCTGCCAATAAAAATAATGATTATAGCCATGCCTCAAAATATCCATTCATCAGGTTAAGTGGAAAGTTTTCCCAGAATTTTAAGTTTTATTTCAGAAACAAAAATTACTATATCTCATGATTATGTTAAAGATGGCCTTTCAACCCTGAGGCTGTGACGACGTTTGAGAATTTAAGCGCAGCCATAGCAGCGCTTTAACACGGCAGGGTGGTCATGGCAAAAACACTGGGAAAGAGCTCTCCCAGAGCACTCTTAGTAAACTATCTGTAGCTAAAAGCACAGCTCCCAGCACTGTAGCCTGGTTTTAGACTGGCGCTTCACAGCGCTGTAATTTGCTGTGCTTAGCGGGGGAGAAGGGGAGGTATTTTTTCACACCCATGAGCCAGAAAGTTGAATGCAAGAAAGAGGCAATGTAGACTTAGCCTAAGCTAAATGTAAAGTAATACAGTATTGTCTCCATGAGTCTGTAGGCAGCTCTGATACTGCTGCAGCTTGTAACTTGTCAGTCAGCAGAACCGTGAATAACTCCACCAAGCAAAAGCGGTGTTAAGAAAAAGACGACTCTGGTCAGCTTCACTACTGCTTTTCAGAATTGTAGCCAAAAATGAAGCTCCTGGAATCTCAAATGTTAGGCTGATGCTGAGGAAAGCCTTGGAATCGGCAAAGGAATACACAACAGTTATCAAAGGAGAAAGAGACTGCAGTAAGACAAAATTATAGCAAAGTAGAGAATGGCAGACCTCTTTGTCCTAATCTCTCCCCTTGCAGCAGCCAGGAGGTGCTGGCAAAAGTGTAAAGTGACGTGGACCTTTCCTCACTCAATTACACATAGCTACCAGGAGACTTTCGAGGGGGAAAAAATAGAAATAGATAGTAAGTTCCCTATGTTACATCAGCCTGCGAGATGCTAGAGTTTCTAATTTATCAGACACCTACTACTCAGAGGTCAATATAAGGAACCATGCTGAAGGTAGATGACTAATTATAATTGTTGTGTTTCTTTTGCAGGACAGCAAGGGGAAGAAGATTTGGAAGCTCATTACATAGCTCAAGAAACTGGAATATGCTTTTCACCCCTAGGTAAATGATCCAAATACAGCAGAAAGATGCAGTGTCCAAATGTTTACCATCTGAAGACTGTTCACTGTCCTGTATAAAATTATTTGCAAATTTTAGTATTGATGTTGGTAGGCAAGAGTGTCTCCAATCTCAACTCCTACTCACAAACATGTTCTGCACAACTGACCTCCTTGTTAAAAGTCTCAGCAAAATAAACAAGGAATGGTTATGAAGACTGAAATACCTTATCGTTCAGACATACTGATGGGATAACAAAACGAAATACAACTGCTTAGGTCAGACAGATTTCAGTTTTCAGAATTCTAAAAATATCTTTCAGAAGCACTAAAATCACTAAGTTTCCTAAATCTTATTTTGTAGTTAGTTATGTCTATAATCGAAATATAAGAGTATTGGCATCGTACTGCCTAAACAGTGATGACAGCCTAAGGTTGCTTAAGATCAGTTGCAGCAGACAGCAGGGTAATGACACTAGGGTAATGACACTTCTGATTTCCTCTGGGAAGAGACCTCAGGAGGTCATCTAGCCCAATCCCCTGCTCAAAGCAGAACTGACCCTAGTTAAATCATCTGAGTCAGTGCTTTGTCATACCAGACGCTGAAAAGCTCTATGGCTGGGGAAAGAGATCCTTAAAAGGGATCCTTTTTAAGAATCTCCCATTTGATACGCACTTAAAAACTTAGATTTTTCCTCCATTTTAAGATACTGGACAAAATTCTGGAGAACAAAAGCCAACTGTGGCAGAGCTGACCTGCCCATATGGTGTTACAACACCCCGGTTCTGTAGAGGCCTGATTTTCTAATGTACGTAAAGCTGCTACAGCAATAGTATGTCCTTCAGAGACACCACTCCAGCCCAAATAAGAAGGCGGGAACAGAAATGGAATCCAGATACACAAAGAGCAAAATTAAACAAAAAATGCAGAGGGGGCTCAAATTTTATACCACCACAGAACAATTTTAAGTGAAATTCAGTATTTAGTTCACAACTTAATCTCAATATATACAGCTTTTTACAGTGCAATACATACAAATTACATTACATGGGCTCAGAAAATTAATCGAAGTTGCAATTTTAACCTATTCCATAACCCTGCAACAGGATCTATGTCAATGAACCACAGTGCCAAAGTCTCACAGAAGTCTATCTGTAGGTTTGTATTTTATTAATCTAGAGTCAAATATTTAAATTATGTACTATTTGTCATTCCTCCAGTGCCTGTCAACTACTCAAAGAACAAAACTATATATATGGTACAGCCTTAAGTATTGTGTTATTTTAGTTAATATTACTGAGGATTAGTGGGGCTACCATCATCAATGTGAAGTATCAGCCTACTACAACATACTGATTTTTAATAGCATTACAGGTAACACAGTTACTACAAAACACCGTTTTAGTTCTATATGCAAATGCAAACATCAGAATATTCCTATGTTTTAGCATTTGAAGCCTGTGTTGGCTTTTTTGTTTTAACTGTGTCAGGTGCTGGGTTTGACTTATTAAGCAGTTGCAAAGGGTCTAATATTCTCTGAACATGTTGTAAACATGTATAAAAACTATGTACAAAACCTAAGTTCCATACCTAGTAAACACATTAAAGATGCCATTTTTTTGTATATTAATACCCGTCACATTTCAAAAGCCATATTAAACTCTTCTGAAAACTTTACAGAATATCAACTTTCCATTAAAATATAAACTTTAATATTTAAGATGAATTAAGGACTTGGTGCTACTTGACCTAGGCTAGCCCACATTCCTAGTAATTTGCCGATGATTAAGTCATTAAAAATATAAATGCAAATAATCAGTTTTGGCTGAGCAAACTGACTATTACACTCATACAAAAGATCTCCTGGGTTACTTTATTGACAGGATTATCATGTACGTCCTAGCTGAGCACTGCTTTCTGCCCTTTTGGCAGTCGGGCTCCGCGCTACACAGGGAAACCTGAGCGGCACTTAATTTAAGCCACGTTAGAAGCAGCTCGCCTCCGGCGTCAGCCCGGCGGAATCCCAGAGCCGGGCTAGAGACGCCGCCGCCGCCCGGCTCTGCCCCGCACGGACCGTGCTACCCAGCAGCGCCCGCTGTCAGCAACACTCGGGCCAGGACAAGGAAGCTCGTGCGGCTC